ACATATATATACATATATACATATATGTATATATATATATGTATATATGTATATATATGTATATGTATATAAAAGTGAAATGGGTGCTCAATGGTAATTAAACCAGAGCAAATTAAAACAAAAATAAAAGGTTCAAAAATAAGAGGTTCAACAGTAGGTTTGAATAGGCATTTTATTACTATTTGGTTTCGTACTACACGTACATAGTGCAACACTCTTCAGATAAATTACCTAATTAGGTAATTTTATCTGAAGAGTGTTGCACCATGTATGTGTAGCACGAAACTAAATAGTAAAAATACAGGTACAGGGGAAAAAAAACATGGAAAAAAGTAAAGGGTAAGTCAGGTAATAAGACTACGAAAATAAATATTTAACAATAAGATAGACTTAAAAAAAGTCAATAAAATTCTTTATTTTCAGAATATTAGAGGTATTTCACATTATGCGCTATATAAATTGACATTATTGTTATTATTATTATTATTATTAAGGAGCATTTAGTTCAGAACAAGTCATCACACATTTCAACATCTTCAAAATTCTGTTAAATGTCAAAACACATCTAATTCAGACTGTTTTACTATTCTTGACTCTGCCCACAATACTTATCAACTTAAAATAAAAGAAGCCCTTTACATTGCTTGGGGAAATCCGTCATTTAACAAACAAACAACTCATTACAACTTATGACTTACTATAGTATTCTTGACCTCTATATACTTGACTTACCTTAATATTTGCTTGTTTCGTCTTACACCTGACCTAATTAGGTAATTTTATCTGAAGATTGTTGCACCATGTATGTGTAGCACGAAACTAAATAGTAAAAATACAGGTACAGGGGGAAAAAAAACAGGGAAAAAAGTAAAGGGTAAGTCAGGTAATAAGACTACGAAAATAAATATTTAACAATAAAATAGACTTAAAAAAAGTCAATAAAATTCTTTATTTTCAGAATATTAGAGGTATTTTACATTATGCGCTATATAGATTGACAATTATTATGATTATTATTATGATTATTATTATTATTATTATTATTATTATTATTTATTATTATTATTATTAAGGAGCATTTAGTTCAGAACAAGTCATCACACATTTCAACATCTTCAAAATTCTGTTAAATGTCAAAACACATCTAATTCAGACTGTTTTACTATTCTTGACTCTGCCCACAATACTTATCAACTTAAAATAAAAGAAGCCCTTTACAT